GACCCCCGAGCTGGAGGCAGGGCTCCAGGGGGGTCTCCCCAGAGCGGAGCAGAGGGGCGGAATCCCCCCCTCGCCCTGCTGCCCACGCTGCGGGGGATGCGGCCCAGGAGACGCTTGGCTTTCTGGGCTGCGAGAGCACATTGCCGGCCCATGGCCAGCTTCTCACCTATCAGTCCCCCCGAGTCCTTCTCTGCAGGGCTGCTCTCAGTAATAAGAACCGCAGACTCTTTGCAGACTCCTGACTAACACTGAATGCTTGAGCCTGATGATGAACAGAAATAAAACCAACCCACATGGGTGCACAGTGCACTGAGCGGCCGTGTTTGGGGACCCCGACAAAACCTGCACCCACTTATCTGAACTGGGCTGCACCCCCAGCCCTCGGGGACGTGACGCGGTGGGACAGCCTGGGCTCCAGTGGGGGACTCTTTTCAGGGCACACATTTCCCTTTAAATATTTTTTTTTTTCCAAAATCCGAAATATTGAACATTTTTGGAAAATGTGGAAATTTTTTCCAATTGGAATTGGAACAGATGGGATCACAGTTAGGCTACCTCTACCCAGGAACACCAAAAATACTGAAGGAATCAGTCATTAAGGTACTGCAGCATTTGCCATATCATCAGGTTGTTGCAGCTCAAGGGTTTGTTTGGGGCAAATGTGTTCCCCCCCCCCCGCAGCATCTCAACCTTAGTTATACTTTCATTTCTTTGCTTATTTTTAAATGCAGTTCTTAAGAGGACATTTGGAAGGTTAAAATTCCTAATTAAAAAGTTAGTGAGAAATGGTTACTGAGTGTTACTCTGCACAAAAAACCACCTGAAGGTATGGGAAGTGGGAGAGAGCGAGGACAAACCAACCCAAGACAGTGGTAAAACTGAAAAGTCAGGGCTGTGCACACAGGCAGTCCTGTAGCAAATGTGGTAAAGCAGCCTAGCATTTGATTAATGATTTGCATGTACATTTTGGTGAAAGCTCAATGCGAATTTCTGAAATCTAAGAAATACGTATGTCCTGACATCCCTCCTAAATGCCCTGCATAAGCTGAAAGGGAATAAGAACAATGCCAAGCAGCGTGCAAACACTTGCCGGCAGACGACTGATGATTTTCAACAATAATTTCATAAATGCAGCAGACTTAAGCATATCCCACGATTACTCTTTGGCTGGGAGTTCCCACTGACGCCAGCGTGGGCTGCCTGGGGCCACCAAGGGAGATGGGCTCCCACCGGGGCAGCCTTCACCAGGCAGAAGCACGGGGTGGGATTGCCAACAGCCCTGGGGTCAGCAAGAGAAACGGCATTGCAAAGAAGCTGCAAACGAAGCAACCCACCCGAAACAACCTGCAGGTTTCTGCCGGGACTGAGCACGGGCAGAGGTGCGGGCACTGCTCTCTCTGCAACGCTTCTGCCCCCAGCGACGCCTGCGCTGAGCAGGTAGCACCGAGGGCCGGCCGGCCGCGGCATAGATCACGCCGGTCACTGGAAACAACCGCCAAAGCTTGAAATGATGTTTGCATGAGAGCAAGACGTTGAAATATTGATTAAAGTTGGATTTCATCAGCAATACTTTGATTTTATTATTATACTGGCCGCTAACAAAGACACACCCATTAATGCGT